GTCCTCGCTGCTTCCCGCTCTCGCAATGGCTGATCTGTCGCCCCTCAGCTCATCCGCTCTCCGCCGCCACCGAGTCTCAACGGCGCACCCTTTCTGCGTTTTTATTGTTGCTGTTTCGATGTTCTTTTTTTGCCTGTTCGCTGGGTCTTCCTTGTTTCCGTCTCCGTTAGGGCACTTCGCGAGAACACTACCGCGAGCGCGGCCATGGATGTACGTGCTCGCGCGCTGCTCGCCTACCGTCTCTTACGCGTGCACGTCGGCTTTCCCGCTGTTCTCGTGTCTTAAGCTTACCTGGGGTGCCATCACGTACCGTCGATCTCTCTCATCTCTGCTTATTCCTTTGTCCGTTTTCCGTTTCTGCTTTCTTTTTCGTGTTTTTCTTTCCACCACACTTTCTTGCGCTGGGGTCGGGTCAGCTCCGTCCTACTTGGGTGCGCACGTGGTGCATACGCGCATATATGCTCCTTCCCCGTGATTCTTTGATTTGTGGTTCGTTTTCCTTCCTTTGCGGTCCTTTTTTTCTATGGCCCCATGCTGCTCTTGGGTCTCCGCCCTACTCGCTTCGATGCGCTCCGAGCCCGGTCGCGGACGCGGACGCACGATCCAATACATTCATTCCTCCCTTCGTCTCTCTGGTTCTCGTGTTAGTTGCATATATATATTGATTTCCCACATCCTCGCTTTGTTAATCTGTTCGTTCGTTCGTTTCTCTCTTCGCGATCTGGGCTGCGTCGATCCTAGCGCCATCTTTTTATGCGCACGATGTTAGCGACTGTATTCCGCAGTCACTAGATCCGACGACAATGAACTCTGCGGTGCGCCGTTGAAGTGGGGAATGTACGAAGCGAACTGGATTACTTGATTTCGGTCAAAGAAATGCTGCTCTGCGACGTGGAGGGGATGCATCTGCCGATCAGTGCAACAATCAGCATTCTAGTTCTGGGCCGCCTCTGAGTTTCGACGGCGCGCACCCTTCGTTTTCTGTTTTTGTTCGGCTGCTGTTTCGATGTTGTGTCCTTTCATATCTTTTTCGTTTTCTCTTTGTTTCCGTCTCCGTTGGAATATCTCGCGGGAACACTACCGCGAGCGGCACGCCGGGTCTTTCCGCTGTTTTGTCCTACCTGGGCGCCACCACGTATTGGTGCTCATCTCTTTTCGTTCTTTGCTTTCCACCACGCTTTTCCGCGCTGGGCTCAACCTCATCCGTTTTCCTTAATGCGCCCAATACATACCCCACGGCGCTTTTAGTTTGAGGTTTTTTTTGCCTTCCTTGACAGTTTTTTTCCTCTCTGCCCCGATGCTCTCCTCACTTGGTCTCGACCCCATGCGCTCCGGACCCAGACGTGCAATCCAATACATACATTCGTTCTCCCTTCGGCTCTTCTGCTCCTTGGTTCTCGTGTCAATCGCATATACGAGGCGTCTTGTCTTCCCATCTCCTCTCCTGTCCTTCCTGTACATTATTAATGCTGCTTGTTCATTCGTTCGTTTCTTGTATCATCTCTTGGAGATCTGGCTAGGCCTCACCTAGCGTGCTGCGCCATCTTTTTATGCGCACGCCGAGACGACAATGAAACTCTGCAGTGCGCCGTTGAAATGAAGGAGAGCATGAATCGAAAAAATGCTGTTCTGCGACGTCTCACTCTCACTGCCAGCATCTGAGCCTGATTTTGGTTGTACGAGCAGAGGAGACCCAAATATCCAGGTGAATATGCAAGAAACGCTTGGGATCCCTTATTCAAATTGAATCCTTGATGATACGACCATCATTGGCTTTCCTCTTAATTTCTCTTCCTCTCCCTTGGATCTCGGAGCTGAACTTTCCAACGGTCCTATATTGCTACATTTATGCACCCTGGCCCCATTCATTGGTTCCTACATTTCATTTTTCCCGTCGTCGTCCAATTTTCTGGGTTGTTTTCTTAAATCCTGTAGGTGGAATTCACTGACGTTCTGCATCGCTCTGTGCGTAGTTCAGGAACGGATTTCATGTATCATCCGGTTATTCTACGTCGTTCCTTCCTCGTCAATTTAACCACACCAGGTGTTCGCGTGAATCATCTCCACATGAAACCCGCATGATGACTAGATCCGCATCCGCTCTACGCATCTCCCATGCGCGCACCCACATCCGCTCACGCAGCGCGTCGGCTGCATTTTTTTCCGACTGGGACGTCGGTGCCCACAGAAATTTCGAGCACGCCGCGCGTGTAGTGGAAAACCACACAGAATGCGCCTGCGTCCGATGGTGCTTCTTCCGGGGTGTGGAATTTGATTTTGGCGGCGATGATATTCTCGCGGCTCAAGCCGTAGTCGTGGCGGGCGAGCACACCCATGAATGACCGATCCCGCCTGGTCAAGGGATCTTGATGACTAGGATCAGTTTGTGGCACGCTGTCAATAGCACTCCGGTGTGATTCCCTTGCTTCCCATTGCTGGAAATTTAACGCTTCTGCCAACAGGGAAGCTTCCCCTCTCTCCCTTGCGCCTGTTTCATGTGTTCCAGCATCGCAATTTAATGGAGAACTCGCACGAGGACTTTCCAGCGCTCTGCACAGAGGAAACAGCTGGAGATGTTGCATTCACATTCTGGAAATATTGACATTTCCGGGCCCAGGAAATTAGTGTGGAAATTTTGAGTATCTACAAGAGAATCAGAGCGGCGGAAATCTTCGGTTTCCGCAACAGTCTCCGGTCAAATGATACAATGAGTATCGGCAACAGTGCATTGACAATGAAGTTAGGGTTTAGGTTAGACCCTAATTACACATACGCAGAATCAGAGATGTACAGAAAACCAAGCGTCACACTGCAGATCCTCAAAGTTTATTGACCTTTGTAACCACGTCTACCGAGCCGCAGTGTGCTTCGATATTGAGCCCAAAGTCATTATTTGCGTCCAGGACGACCTTCAAGATTCCTGGGTCCTTGGAGAACTGTGGGAGGCCAATCACTGTCAGTTAGAGCCACATCACGACGGGGATACACACATCGGCCATGTGTTCAACAGTCTGGAAGAGGGCGAATCACGGTCAGCCCAGCTGGATTGGAATTTCAGAAAACAAGCATATACCTCGCTTTCGCCATACAGGATAACGATAGGCTCTGGCGGGGGAAGACCGAGCGACTCGGAGTGGGGATGGAACTCCGTATTCTGCCACCACTGGAACATTGAAGAATAAGGTTGAGATATATGTATGCCTGACGCATAGGGATTCATTGCACCACTTGAAATTTGGTCCAAAATTTATGCAAAGCGGGCAGAGCGGATAACTCATCGACCAGCGCCGCTGTCTTCTGTTTCCATTCCGCTATGGAAAGCTGGGGAGGAAGTATGAAGAATCCAGCCGCATGATGCGTGTGCTGAGTGGGTGGGGAGTCTGAATCAACTAGCGAGAACACTTCTGCTGAGAATGATGCAGTTCGATGGAATCCGAGCTCAGCCGCCGGTGTAAAGAGTTGTCGTATTTCTCCGTCGTTGATAGGCTGCGGAAAGTTTAAAAGAATGGACCGTTATTCCCAATAATGACAAATACCGCTAACAGATGATCCTTTGACTGTGAATAGTCAACCATGAACATTTGCAGTTGGATCTAAATGCAAACCTCAGTTTCCACAATAATAGTCACCATGGGCGGCGATGCTGAAAGCCCAAATTTCTTCAGATGTTCGTCCATACTGGGGTTCTGGAACATCTGCTCGAAAGGCATGATCAACCGTAGGTGAAGCTCATCGATGGCACGTCACCTACAAGCTCGACCTTGTGTACATTCTGGTGCGCAACAGGGACGGACAGGATACGATCCGCGAGCGCCTCCACCCTGGCGTCGAACTCCTTTTTCGACAGCCCTTCCGGGGCCTTGAGTATCCCTATGACAAAAAAGCGGTCCTCTCTCGCAGAGGGCGCCATGATTGAGCTTGGGGAGAAAGCGGTTCCTTGAAGGGCCTCACCAGGTATATTATGTGATCTCGGCACCCGAGACAGCGGTCTTAAAGCTGTCAGGGCATGAGCTCATTCGATGGAAATGAAGGGGACCATGGATTCAGATGTGATCCCAGTGGATCCCAAGGTGGCATGTGGTGTGTCCTAATTTTGGTCCATTCGTCACAACAGCGTGCCCGAGGAGAGCATTTTCACTGTTTAGTCAGAACACGGAAGATACAGAAACCGAGCTCATGTCTTGGCGTAGGTAGTAGGTAGGTAGGATTGAGGCGATTTCATACTAACCCCGTCAACCAGTTTTGCATCCACATTTTCTGAACAATAAAGATGCTCATCATGTTGCATATGAGCTGTCTGTCGCCGCCAGCTCGCTAGGCCTAAACCGCTTATAGTGTAGAAGCCTTACTTTGAACGTCACTAGCCATAGTGAGAGCGATAGTAATAGTCATGATCACCCGGGATCATTTGCTCGATGTGGAGGAACAGTATGGGGGGAAACAACAGCTCAAAAGGGAAAAAGAAATCCCCCCGTCATGGGTATAGAGCGAGAGACAGAAGGCGAAAGGCCGAGTTCATTTAGGGGCTCACTTTATCCCAAGCTGACCGGATTCGCCGCAGTTACAAGTTGCGGACCATTCTAAACCCCTCCATTGAAGCAGTCGTGGAGGTACACACAATATTAGGGCTTCAACCAGAGTAATGTTGGAACTTCATCGTAGTAACATTACCTACCACATTTCATTCGGGCGTCAGGCAGACATGCCTCACGATAAAACTTCCCAAGTCACTGGCATGTTGGCGGCACTTCTATAATTTCTGTAAACGTATCGAGTGTCTGATCGTATTTACTCCCTTTCTCGAAGGGGGCTTCATTTGAAGTCATCTCGTCTCATTTTCCCATTTAATCCTCGCCCGGCAATTGTGATGACAATGTGATCACGTGGTGTATTCGGCGCGTCGCGATCAGACAAATTCGCACAAACAGGTCTGTTGACTCATTTGACGTTGATTCGACGTCTGGCAGATTCGACAGACCGGCATCCAGAGCAAAAAATGACTGCCCTGGCGAGATTCGAACCCACTACCTCCGGCTACCGCATTCTCATAATTTTAGAGTCTGAAGCCGGCCGGTGTCGTTGCCAATAGACCACAGGGCCGTGAAACCCAGCTTTGAAGGTGGGAGGTCCTTTGTTGTCTCAGGGGCGTTTCTCATGCATTTGCGTGGCTCTGAAATTGCTAACCACGATCTCTGCGAACAGATATCGATGACAAGAATTCTTTAGTTTGAGTTTCTTGTTGCCACACTTCGCCATTGAAATTAAGCGGCGTAAGTTCGTCGGTATACAGAATTTTAGATCTGGTTCTGGTACTAATCGGAAGGAAAAGAAGACAAGCCGTTAGCTTCATTCCAATTGCTGGTCCTTTTTAACCCTTCCCGAGTCCGGTTCAACCACTTGTGTTATTTGACCCATTTTCGCTCCCACTTTTATTACATAATATCAGCATACCAAATAACTTTGCAGATGGCCATGCTTTATGTGAGGAATATATTGCTGTAGACAGCCACTCGGATTTGGCTCGCCTATTTTGCCCTCGTTGAGACATTGGGAGCCTTCTTGTCATCTTCCAAAAAATAGCTCGCTCCTGTTGAAGCTCTCGCTCCTCCACCCTTTTTTACGACCCGAACCTCTGCAATTTCGAACCCAACCAGAATTTTCTGAACAGTTGGCTAACAAATTACTTTCAACAGCTCTCCTGAGCAATTCCCATGCCACAACGACTTCACTCGAGGTACAGTCCAACCATTCATTGGCCGAAAGTAAATCACGTCATATATGGGATTCCCGATTGAACAAAGCATTCCACCCACACTATAGAATGGCCTGGTCATGGCACAAGCTTCAGTTGTTTTCCCTGGCGCGGAAAATCCGAGAGTTTTCAACCTGTTCATTTTGATTCAATCCTTCGAAAACTCCCCACAAAGTGAAGTTGAGTAGTGCTTTTCAACTGTCGCAGGTATATCGGTGATATTAATTTGCTGCAGATAGAGCAGGAATATTCCGCAGCCGCTCGCTCGATTGCTCTGAGAAGATATGCAGGCTTTCAATATGTAGCCCGCTCATCGTTTGTACCCTTAGACTGAAGAACATGAAGTGGCGGTGGGCTTTTGTTCTCTATGGTGGTTCAGTCCAATAATTCCCTATTAGTGTCTCAAAATCCCCGCTATAATGAGATCGTTCTCGGAAGCCCCAGAATTCGGTCGTGCCTGCATGTTATCTGTGGATGAAACTACTAGGATCGACACCCGTTCTGCGGACGGATCCGGCAGTTGGATGGTCGCCTTTGAAATTCGCTTCCCATGTATCCGCCGCACAGTTTTATCAAAAGAACACCGAAATCGCAGATGGGGTCACCCAACTGCCCATCATATACGGAAGAACCTCTTGGAACATACGATGGTGTGCTCACTTCATAGATGCGATGTCGGAGATAACACAACATTATATCTCTATTGGATCAAAAACGAAGCTTCGCAACGTACCAATATGATCGTTTTATTTCGCACTTGAAGCCGACGTGATATTTTCGTCTGCTCGAAAGTTGCTCGAAAGCCAATCAAAAGCGAACAAAAAGATTCAACTTGCGCGGGCAATTTCGGATCACCCGGGAACATTGATTGCCGATGCGTCGATACGTCAGTGACTCAGTCTCGCCTCTCCAACTCTCATGTCCGCTAACAGAACCAGCTCCCAAATCGCCCTCCCGGTATGCATTGACAATGGTTGGGGTCATTTTGGCACTCATAATCCGGTCCTTGCCTCAGGTAGGCCTGACGATGCCAGGTTCCACCGATAAGGGAGAAGAATCTGATGCCGACGAAAGAAGACTGAAGCTCCTCCTCGCGACCGTAACGGATCCCCTGGACGCTCGTGCGCCCTGTATCGATGCAATACTGAGTCTGTGCGCCAAGTTTGTCCTTGTTCCCCGTCATTCGAAAGGCATTCAGCCCTGCATTGTCTTGCGCGCTGTGCTGAACTTTTTCATTCGGCCCACCTCAGTCGATGGTTTGGTAGCCGTGAAAGACCATCTATCCACATGTCGTTGCAATTTGGCAGATCCTTTCATCCGAGGATTGCATCTCAGTTCCGACGGATCTTACGGAAATATGATATTGAGCTTGGCTTCTGTGCTTTCTGCGGCTTTCGTAGATCTTCCACCTGGACGGTTTCGCACGGCGATTAAAACCCGAGATGCTGGCAGCCAGCCGTGGCCTATTAGCGAAGCAGATTTATTTGGTGGTCGCGCGTCCCGGGACATTCTGGCAGCCCTTATGCGGTGGGTTGAAGACATTCCTTCCGGGGCAGGGGGTTTCAATGTCATCGGAGATTTCCTCCCACGATCTCCCTCGTTCAAGGCCGCATTCTTCGCGAATCCGCGTGTCCTGCGACTTGCCATAGAGCATCTCAAATTCGTCCTCCGAACATCCGAGGCATTCCCCCACAGTACATCTTTCCCTTCACCGCTATTGGCTGGTTGTTCGATGCCATGACGATAACTCGTCCGTTGTCCTTGTTTCTCGACATGCTGGACCCGCTATTCGACGAGTGCCTATCAATGGCTCCAGGACTGCGACGTCTCGCCCGACAGACGGCGTGCCCGACCTCGCTTGACGGTTTCTACCGTCTTCTCGCACTCAAGACTAGCTCGCGCTCTGGCATCCTACGTGACTTCTTCTCGGACGATCGCATTCACCAGGTCGCCATGTCGATGATGGGCTACTTTCGGATTCATCGTAGATGCATGAATATTGGGTGCCCCGCGCCATCTGGGAACAAAACCTTCCAGTGTACTCGATGCACGGTTGTCAGATACTGTGGGGCTGAGGTACGGGCGGCTTACTTACGGTTCCTCATACCCAATAAGTATACCTTCCGGCAGTGCCAACGAAACGCGTGGCGGGATCCCGTCCTTCCGCACAAGGCATTGTGTACCGCTGTTCAATCGCTGCGTCGCGCATTAAATCTCGAAGATCAAGCGTCATGGAACGAGTGGTCAACCGGGTCTCCAGAGCAGCTCATGAAGAAGACTTCCGAGCTCGCCGACCTTTGTGCTTCTCGCAGAGTGGAATTTACGCTTTCACGAACTATCCAGGAGACGCTGAGCGAGCTGCTAGAGAAATTAGATTTCTGAAAGGTGTGCGATCTTCTCCAGAACATCTACACACTGCTGAGCTGGTGCTATTGCTCCAGGCGCCAGCTCGGAGAGGGACTATTGTCTTCTTATATTTGTTTGCATTTTCAATGCTTCGTCGTTCAGGATATAGTTCGACCGACACCCTTACACGTCATTGCATAGCGCAGATGTCTCAGACTGTGTTGTACACCAGTGAACCTCCGTCATCTTCATCATAACACCAACCAACACCAGGGCGATGAGGAATTTACCGCGAACGTTGTCCCCTTACAGTGTTCGCTTCACCAAGAGGCTCGTCGTTCTTGTTTTCCTGGCCTGCTGAGACGAGTTATCTCCGAGGTCCCTGGCGTTTGCACGCCATTATTCACTCAAACCTGATTAACAAATGCGAACGTCCTGTCCTCCTGCCTGATTCATTTTGCATTGTTCACGTCGGAGTTCCGGTGCCGGTCCGCCGTGAGCGACTCATGTGGGAGGTCTCTCCCTAGGTATGATGTCGCTAACCATCCCTTGTACCAGTATTGGGCTGCGCGAGGGTGACAACTGCAGTACAGGTAGTACTACTTACAGTTAGGCAACTAGGTCACGTGACGGTGGATTTATCTCGGCTGTGCAGGAGCACAGCCGAAAAGCTGTTAAAACTACTTGCTGTCTTAACCTTTCTCTCTCATTTCAAGCCGACATCCTCCAAAGTTTCATGGACGTCGATGCCTCTAGTCGAGCCTCCACCGTCATTCCTCATCATGTCAGTGACTGTGGGGGAACTTCAATGTTTTCCGGCGCACAGCACTTCGTCATTGCTGGAGGGGAGTTTACAAGTGTCACCAATCTCATAACGAGCACCGTCGCTGAGCCCGCGGGTACCCACATTCTGCCATGAAAGTCGTTATGTGACCTGGTTATGGGCAGACTTTTGCACTATTCAACTAGGGAACTTGGATCTCCGCCACGAGATCCGCCTCGATCACGGCTCTGGCGTGGTTGACCGACTTTGTAAACCTAACTGTGTACGGAAAATATATGCCGCTCGAATTTATGGCAGTGCGGAGGATATGACGGCCGTTATATATGAAGGGTCTACTGCGGAGGAGGTACGAGCACTTTTCGCGTTCATACAGATGCTGAGCGATTTTAGCAATGGCGCAATGATCTTGCACAGTATCGTGGCTTACGGTGAGTGTCCCCACCATTGGCCCATGCGACATTGCCTTTGAATGTGGTTCAGACACCCAAATGTTGTCCAAATATATGCAATGGCTAGTTCAGGTGGTCTACATGCTATCCTATTTCACGGCGGTAGGCCGATTTGGAGGGAACGTGGGACATCTATGTACTGACAACATGGATTATTAGATCTTATTCCGATCCAGGACTTCTTCAGAACCTATGACCATTCCCCTATATCGACTGCATATTTGCATGGTTATTTTGTACGTTCTCAAGCGTTAACACCAACTGGGAATTCACACTTCATCAGGGCGTAGCATTCTCGGTGAGAAATCATCCACCAAGAGGGAGAAAACCTGAATCATATGGTTTCCTTTATTCTTAGGAAGCTGCAGCGCACTGTCCGCTCAGTGTCTCGTGCGCGCATCGTAAGCCTGACAATATTCTCCGCGCTTCTTACAGTTCTCATGTTCGGCAGACCTCTGGGTCATATACGCCGTGGATCAGACTCTCGACTGGTGGGTTGTGCATAGAACTCACGCCATGCCGCCCGGCACAAGCACAAGAGCCATGCCACGCGGAACAAGTCTTTACCCATACACCATATCTGAAAGCGTGTGCCGTACACCAATCACTTATCTCGGGCCTGACCCGGAGTCTGTGATCGTTTCTAACCTCAGTCTGCACCACTACCATGAGATTTGCCACTACTGTCGGAATGTGCGAATACGTACTTCCTCCCGGTACTCTCGTCCATTTAGGTGCAATCGTGGCTGATCTAGAATACGCCGCGGAC